GCGTCGTCAGCGTCGTCGGCTAGGTTGGGTCCACGCAGCACCCCCCCCCTCCTCTGGGGCATCCGCAGCGCGACGTCGTCGTCGTCGGCTTCGGTTTCGGCGGGCCGCCCACACAGCACCGCTCCCCCTGGGGCATCCGCAGCGCGTCGTCGTCGTTGTCCTCCTCGTCGTCGGTGGGCCCACGCATCCCCCCCCTGCCCCCCTCCCCACCTGCGGGCATCCGCAGCGGTATGTCGTCGTCGTCGTCGTCGTCGTCGTCGGCTTCGGTTTCGGCGGGCCGCCCACACAGCACCGCTCCCCCTGGGGCATCCGCAGCGCGTCGTCGTCGTTGTCCTCCTCGTCGTCGGTGGGCCCACGCATCCCCCCCCTGCCCCCCTCCCCACCTGCGGGCATCCGCAGCGGTATGTCGTCGTCGTCGTCGTCGTCGTCGTCGTCGTCGTCGTCGTCGTCGACGTTGCCGTCGTCGTCGTCGACTCGGCTAGATTGTTTCGATGGTCCGCTTCAGAAAACTAGGCTTGGGTGAGTTCGATGAGAGCCGAACCAGGCTTCCACTCCAATGAGAACACGGCAAGGATTCCTCATCCGCGCCTCTCACTCAAGCCATTGCCCCCCCTTTCCCCTGCCGACAAGTGTTGGTTGGTTTGTGGTGTTAAGCGGTATCGTTCGGCGGTTCCCCCCCTCGAGAATTAATGATTAAATGTATGTGCTGCAGGTGACGCCAGGGGGGGTCTTCACTGCTCCTTGCGGTTAACTCTGTCCTCCTCGCGTCGTGTACAACTCGCGGCGGAAGTTGTTTCGCTATTTCCGCCTCCAGGGGCTTTTGCCGGGCCGATGCCGGGGCCGTCCGAGAACGATTCGGGACGACAGGCTGGTCCCCGGCCCGACCCGCCTCGCGGTTCTGGCCAGGTGCTTCCTCGGCCGAGACTTCCGTGCGCTCGTGGGCTCCTTTTGGTGCCTCCTGGGGCGCTCGTCGTCGCCGACGCCGGGTCCGCCTCGAGATGCTGCCCGGGTGGCGGTTCCGGGGAGGCCGAGGGGTCGACTCCGAGGCCCGGGGCCCACCACCTTCTGCTCCGCGAGCGGAAAGAAGACAAAAGAATCACAGGCGACGTTTGTCCCCGAATCTTATGATGTTCCAAGTTGCTTTAGCTTCGATCACCGGAAAGAATTTCGAGCACCAGGAAAGTACCGAAACTGGAAGGTTTTCACGTGTCGGTCCCTGGGCGGTGATACTCGTTCCATACAGTTTCGATACTTTCCTGGATGCTCGAACTTCTTTCTGAGATGTGGTCCTGAAGTACGATGGGAGCAACATAACCTGAGTTCCAGAGTTCCGCCCGAAAAGTTTGAGAATGAGGAGGTCATGTCACTAAAGTGGGCTTCGAAAGGGGGGGGCGGTGGTGTCCGCTGGCTGGCAAGCCTGCCAGCCTTTTCGTCTCTGCTGAGGACCTTGGGCTGTAAACCCAAACATATTCGCCGCTCAGAGAAAGAAGGGAGCCCTGGGATACACCCCAAGAGGGCTATTCGGAAGCACCCTTATCGCGGATGGACGCCCCCATATTGTATATCTTAGTGTTGGGCCCCAAATTCCTGGTCCAGTTGAAAACCCCCAAAGTTGGGGATTGGGGTCGCCAGATCCCTTGTCAAAACATAAGTGGCGGATGCTTCCCTCGCCATTTTACCTCCCGATGGTCATTTACGATTTCTGGGCCCGGGGACTGTCACAAGGCGACCCTGGGCGCACCCGCTCCAGGAGGCGGGGTCGAGAGCCTCTGGGGCGCCCTCCTCCTCGTCCTCGTAGGCTGCAGCTCCTGGAAGCTTGAGTTCGTCGTCCGCCCCGAGATACCTTCTTGGCACACGGCTGGCCCAGTCCCGGCCAGTCGAAGCCGGGTTTGGTGAGGTATATTGTTGATTTGTTGATTGGATTTGCCACCAGGCATCGTAGTTCCGTGCTCCACGAATCTGGGCCAAGAGAACCGTAGGAGTTGACACCTTCTTCCTCTCTCTCATCCGCCCCCTTTGGCATCAGGGGTGCTTATCATTGCCCTCCGCTGACGTCCCGTGGACAGCCGCCTCATCAGGGCTGCAGGCGTCAGAACCCAGGACCGCTTCCAAACAGAAAGCCGCGAGGAGGAGGATGAGGAGGAGGAGGAGGAGGAGGGAGAAAGGAGGCAGAAGGAGGAGGAGGAGGAGGAGGAGGAGGAGGAGGAGGGAGGAGGAGGAGGAGGAGGAGGAGGAGGAGGACAAGCTAGGTGCGCTCGCGTCAGATCTGACGTCCTACCCCACCCTCCCATCCCTTACCATGGCGCTGATTTTCTCTATCCGCGGACGCGTGTCGTAGCGGACCGGACTTGTGGCTCCGCGCGCGCGTGCGTAGTGGGTGGTGGTGCGCGCGTGCGTGCGTGCGTGCGTGTGTGGTGGTTGGTGGTGGTGGTGGTGGTGGTGGTGGTGGTGGTGGTGGTGGTGGTGGTGGTGGTGTGGTGGTGTGGTGGTGGTGGTGGTGGTGGTGGTGGTGGTGGTGGTGGTGGTGGTGGTGGTGGTGGTGGTGGTGGTGGTGGTGGTGGTGGTGGTGGTGGTGGTGGTGGGTGCGGCGGTGGTGGCGGGCGGATGGGCGCGCGAGAAAGAGGCCCGCGCTGGGGCGAGAACGCCATCCTGAACGACGGAGGCCAAACACCGATCCGAAAATGAGGCCCACGCTGCAGCGGGAGCACGATTCGGAACGATTCGGGAGCAGAAATGAGGCCGGCGCCCCAGCGAGAGCAGCATTTTGAAAAAAACACAAGCGAAAACCCGTTTCCCGGGAATCCTGTGTGTAAAAAAACAATACGCGGGGGGGTGTCGGAGGAGGAGGAGGAGGAGGAGGAGGAGGAGGAGGAGGAGGGTGAGGGTGAGGGTGAGGGCCGCTGAGAGCGCGTCCGAGTCGAACACGCCTCAGGAACAAATGAGAACCCTGAGGGGCCGCGAAGCGGCGGAAATATTATGTACTGAGAGGGCGGGCGAGGGCCAGGGAAAACCGACGCCGCGAAACCGCTCCCAGGGGAGGCAAGACGAGTTACGTCTGCCCTTTGCCCTCGGGGCGCTTGGGGCGCCCTTGGCGGCCGTGGAAGATCCTATCGATCAACCCCAGCTGGTTGGCCCTCGTGCTCGGATTCTCTGAGAGCCCAGCACAAGGACGACGGAGCTTCCGAACGCTCCGAGACGTCTCGAGGGTCGTCGTGCCAGCACACTTACGGCAACAGTAGACCGAATTCACGCAGAAGACATCGTGACCCAGAGCCGCAAACTCGGCTATGAGCTCGGTCGACCCTGAACTGTTTGAGGCCTCGCCGATCTCAGGCTGCTGGGGAGGGTCCACGGGCCCAGGAAGGGGTCCCTCCGAGGCCTCGCGAGGCCCCTCACCCAAAAAGTCCGCGACGAGCACTTGGGACGGGGCAGTACGGGGGTCCGACGCTTTGACCCAGACCTCCCCCGAATTCTTAAACCATTCCGCACAGGCCAGGCTCTGGAGGCTAGAGGGCTCACATTTCCTTCCCGAACCAGTCCTAAGCCAAGCTAGAGTCGAGTCCGAGCGAGCCGATCTCCCACATCTCCTGCACTTATGCTCCTTGAGTCTCCTGCACCACCATAGATCATGATCTGAATCGCGGCCGAACAACACTGGCTGACCCAGAATCTCACGAGCCTCTGGATCCTGAACGGGCGGCGGCGGACCTCGGCCCCAACTCTCCGAGACAATGACACGTAAGCATGCCCACGACACAAACTGCAGCGTGGCCTTATGGATTTTCAAAGCCTCTGTGGGCGACTCCGAGATCGTGTTGGCGATCATGTGGTGCGCCGCACCTGCCTTGGCGAAGTAATCAGCCCAGGCATTGCCGAGCCAGTTCTCCAACTCGTCAGGATTATCCAGCACACTGTCGGGGTCACGGTGTGCAGGAGTCCACTCGAAACGGATTGGGTGCTCGAGCACACGACGCCGAGCAGCCTGAAAATTTCCCGCCATATCCTGGCGTGCTTGCCTCGGCCGTGCTGAAGGGATTGATCCCAAGAGTTGCCCTCAGTTACCAGCCCCAGGAGGTCAGACACGAACAGCTCATGATCAGGATGAAATTCCAAACCCATTTTGATAGCATATCTCTCAGCACGGCCAACGGTCTGCACATAGAAGGGCAGCGGTCCGTACACTGCACGGACTGGCAACAGGGTCTTGGGGTCCAGCTGGATGCATGAGTACCCACACCGCCTAGTCTCTGGAACGCTGGAGGCGAAGCCCGAACCGTCGGTATAGCTCTTGGGGCCCCAAGGCCCATCGGTGTCGCCCCACAGGAGAACTTCCGAACTTATTGTGTCGAGCCCAGGGATACCCGCAGGAGGAGCGGGGGCCCCAAAAAACAGGTAGTTGGACTCCCAAGCCAGACGCCCCTCATACCACTCGCCCCCCTTCGGGAGCATGCCTCTGGTTGCCTCCAAGTCCTCTGAGATGTCCAAGAAGTCCTGGCGCTGCGTGAGCAGCTCGGGGCAATCGTAGAGCACGTGGCCCCAAATACCCTGAGATTGGGCCCCACGAGCTGCACACGGCCTGATTGGGATCTTTTGACGGGCATCTTGGAGCTGAGGAATGGGGAGGTTCCCTGACCAGTGCGCTTGGAGGGCCCCAAGTCTACGAACACACTTGATACTCGTCACCGAGTTGCGTAAGCCTCGGTGCCATATCTGCTCGTCAGGCTCAGCGGTGTAAAAATGCTTGAGCAGCCGCTCGTCCTGCCAACGCTGGATCCCCTGGGTGAGGAACACCTTCAGGTCGGCAGGGCACATAACACGCAAGTCGAAAACATTGCCTAGATCATCAGCCACCATATGACTAGATACTAAGTTCCAACCAATACGTCGTAAAGTCAACCAGCAGGCCCCGATCGGGCCCCGAGTATTAGCCCAGGACAGCGTGCCGATCTTATCCCGGAGAGCCTCCCAAGCCCGATGTGGACGACCGTCGGGTATTCTACCGTCCCAGACCCACTCCGCAAATTTAATAACTATGGCTATTGTGGCGTGGTAGATAGGATCGTAGAATTCGCTCTTGTGGCTGATCAAGTAGGCGGTCACACCCGTGTTAAATATGCCTGGCGCGCCGTTCAAGACGGCCGCGAAAAGACGCATCTCTCGAAGTGCAACGTCGCTTACGCCAGCAACTGCAGCACCGTGCGCCACTGATGGAAGGGCGCCTGTGCGCCACAAAGCCGTCGAGACCTTGCCGACCGCAGACTTCAGCATGGAAAACTTCGCCTTCCTCTCTCTAAGCTGTTTGAGGCGCTTCTTTTCCATGCCCCGAATCACCTTGGGCCCCGTGAGCTCGTGACCTAGGTTCCTCATGTGGCCCTTGTACGGGATCTCCATGGAGCCCATGTGGTGCTGCACCCCCTTCCAGAACTTCCGAGAACCAGCAACAGCCCCAGACTTCGACGCCTTCAAGATCATGCCGGGGCCCTTGGAGTCCTGGATGAAGCCCCTCGCTGCAAGCGCAAGGTACTTGGCCTCCTTGGGGTCCTGGGAGGTATGCTGGAGCCCTATATCGTCCATGAGCGTCCTCGGGGTCACCGTGGGGGAGACCTTCGAGACCCTCTGCACCGACCTATAGGTGAGCAGGTACAGGACATATGTGGCGTGGGTACACCCAGCCAGGATCCCCTGGAAGGGCCGAAACGCTCGAGAAACGCTCCCAAAGGCCCTTATTCGACGGGGCTGTTGGTAGCTCTGAATGAGGAGCCAAAGAAGACGCAGTGGAAACCCAAGAGCCTGGCCTTCTCGGAGCAGCGCATGTGGGTCAACCATGTCATAACATATGCTCATATCTAATAAGATAGTACATGTATGTTCCCCCAACAACTGCGCCACCTCCTGCTGAATATTGTGATCAAAAGCCGAATATGTGGACGTGTGGCCCGCTCTCGTGCCCCACATCTGGTCGCACTGGTAGCCAGCCTGCCACGCTGCCGAGACTGGTCTCCTGAGCTTGCCCCAAAGGCGAACCAGCGCATGAGATAACACAATCAAGCGCGTGTCCCCATCTGGTTTGGGTAAGCGAACCATTTCACTGTAAACCCGCTCAGGAGGCCAGGACAGCCACTGCTCGAAAAGCAAAACCATCTTGGCGATGCGCTCGAGCGCCTGGCCCGACAGAGCGTCCAGGCATCTAGGTGAAATACGGCTCGGCCCAGCTGCCGTACGCGTCGAAAACTTGCGAATGGCAGCCCGCACTTGGTGTTGGTCGAGCTCGGGCAGAGCAGGCCAGCTCTCATGGCCTGGCGGCAGCTCTGGGGGCGACAGGTCGTGGTGTCGCCAGACGCCCTCCCACACGTCGAGGGTGTGGTTTGCCAGCAAGTACGGCTGGGCGTTCACGTCAAAGTTGAGCTGCTCCTGCTTGCCGCGCACCTTGGGGGCGGCGTGGGCCTGACTGGCCCCTCCCAGGAACGCCTGCTTGGCCCAGTCACGCCAAGCCCGCTCCGAGACCGACCTCGCTGCCTTCAACACCGCGTCGGCCTTCAGGATGGTGTTGTCCAAACCTGAGTCGAAGTCGGCGTCTCCGATCATGCCCAAGCCTCGCAGCAGAAAGTCGACGGTGTCCTGGTCTAAGTGGTGGCAGGTCTTCTTGTCGCGGACGATCCTACGGCAGTACTGGTCCACCTCGTAGAAAGCCTGCAGCACCTTGGTGCACTGCAGGGGCGAAAGCTGGCAGACCACCGAAGCCAACTGTAACCGTTGACAGAACCTGCCCAGTCGATCACGCTCCGACCTGAGATGCTGACACCATCTTTTGGCCGTCGCCCACGCATAGACCTTTGGCTCTCGATAAGTACGACGGCGCGGAGGTTCCCAAGCCAACAGCTTCCACTTGAAACGTGGAGGGCCCGAGCGCCCGACGAAAGAAATCGCATCGTTGTCAACCTTGTCATAGCGCCCAGCCAACTCGAAATCGACTCCATCGAGCACAGTGTCCCAAACTCGGGCAAGATCTGAAACCTCCTTCACTTCCAAGAAAATATGATCCACAGCATCCCACGGGCACGGGAACCTCGCGCACCCACATGGAGGAATAACTGGGAATGCCCTCGGCTCATCTGGCACCAGACACCATGCTGGCCTATCGCTGCCCAGGAGATCAATGCTTACTGGGTAGTGCGGAGGGGGTATGGTGCCGTACGTGTCCACCACCACTGCTGTCCCGAGCCGTGACGACAAATTTGCACACGCAATGAAGTAGTCAATCTTCGAGTTGCCGTCTTCCTTGCAGCACGTGGCCGACGGTGGAGTGTAAGACAACCCAGCCAGAGACTCAATCCAACCCCTCGCATTCAGAGCTGCTATATCCGAATTCCAGTCACCCGCTAAGATCCAGTCAAAGCCCGCAGCATTCCAGAAAGCGACTCTCTGCGCGACGGCCCACAGTATGGAAATATTCTCACCTGTCAGACCGATGCTTGTCACCAAGTATGCACTGACCACAATCACCCCACCAGGGACTCCCCAATTGACAAAGCTGGCCACCACTCTGCCTGGATAAATAATGGGGTCGCCGTCGGGAGGCTTCGTGATCATCACATTCGTGGGCGCCAGGATTGCAACCCCACAGTGGCTGGCCTGCGGGCCCTTGGCATTGGTCGCCAAGGCTGGTGCCCACATGCCGTGGAAGCCGAGGTCCTTGGCGCGGTGCTGGAACTCCCCGAGGCGTGACTCCACGATCCTCGTCTCCTGCGCGCAAATGATCTTGGCCTTCACCACGGCCAGAAAGTCGAACAGCGGGCCGAACGAGCTCGCATTCACCGACATGATTGTGCCTGCTATGGCAGGTGGAGAAGATTTGCCCTCCAACTCACCCGTCTTAGATATATCAGACCCGACGCTCACGCTACCGCGCCCGAGATCCAAATGTTCACCAGCGGGGGCAGAGGGAAATGACGAAGCTGCGCCTGCTGCTTCATCGCGTTCTGACTTACGTATTTCCAAGGGGTTCGGGCAAATAGTAGGAACGAGATCGTCGGCTTCCCGATCGGCATCAAGAAACTCGAACGGGTCGTACTCCCCGTCCATGTTTGATCCCACCATGGCTCCAGTAGGTCGGTACCCTCTGCCGTCCAATGTCGCAGCAGGCTCGCAGCGAGGCGAAGAGGGTGAGTGGTGCGTGCCGTGGGGGCCAGGGGCCTCCCACGGTCGGTACTCTCCGCCCTCAGTTGTCCTCAATGCTGCTTGCCCGCCGACGACGGACGGTGAGCAGTGCGTACCTCCTGGAGCCGAGAACGCCGTAGAAGCACACCCCATCTGTGAAGCAGAAGCCGCACTCTGCGAGGTACGCGATGCACGGGGTTCCACCTCAGCGCTCTGCTCGGCAAGCCGAGTGAGCGGTGCTGAGGGTAGCCAACTCGTGCCAATAGCGTTCTCATCCCAAGAGACACTCGCCGCTGCCGAGGAAGACGCCGCACTCTGTGACGTGCACGGTGCACGGGGTTCCGCCCCAGGCCTCTGCTCGGCAAGCCGAGTGAGCCTCCCTGAGGGTAGCCAACACGTGCCAATAACATCAGACTCTTCCCAAGAGACGCTTGCCCACGGTGTAGCACACGCCGCCGACGTCGTAGCCCTCGGAGAAGTTGTAGATGAAGCTGATACCCCGCTTCGAAGGGACCCGTCATTGCTTGCCGTCATTGCCGCTGAACTGAGTAAGCTACCAACCCCAAAGCTGACGAAGCTATTGTTTGCGAGCCCTCTTGCACGCCTCGATGTACGTCGTCTGAAACCGCTTGAACCTTTCCGTGGCCGCCTCGGCAGAGACACTTTCATCCGTGGGGATTCCTGCCGCGTTGAGCGTCGCCCGCATGTCTGCCTCTTCCATCTCAATGTCGGGAGGTTCGGCTTGATCAGGCTCTTGTGCGGGTGGTTCTGCAGTCTGAGGCGGAGGTGGCTTTGCCTGCGGCGCCTGCTGCAACTTGGTGACCGTCTCCGCCATCGCTTGCAGCCCAGCCGTAAGGTCAGGCCCCAGGCCCAGAGTGCTAGCGACGCGCCCCAGCTGCTCCACCGACACGGCGAACCCAGGGAGCATCTCGTGGAGCGTGGGCGGCCGCTGCTGCTCGGGCGGGCGCGCCTGGGACATGGCCTTGCGCGTCTCCTCTTCGAGCCTGACCACCTCGGCGGAGGCCTCCACGAGCTTTGCCTCAGCCTTGTCCAAGTGCCCCTGCAGCTCCTGGATCTTGGCCCTCTGCTCTTCGACCGACTTGCGCACGCTGGACTCCTGGGACCTCGCATGCTGGAGCTTGGCCGCCAACGACCGAGCTTGGTCCTCGATCGGGCGCCCGTCGAACAACTCCCGATCCAAGGTCTCCTTCTCCTTCTTGAAATTGGCCAGCACCGTCGCGTCCTTGTCAGGCGAGAGCATGCGGATGATGCCGTCCAGTTCCTTGATGCGCTTGCGCTTGTCTTCTGCACCATCAGGCTGTGATTGCGCCCATGGTGGCGGTGGCGTGGGCTCAGCCTTCTCCGAGGTGACCCGCTTGATTTGTTCTTCGAGCTGTGCACAACGAGCCGCGAGGCCTTTGTCGACTGAGCTAGGGCCCTTGGTTCCCGCAGCATGGACGCTGGGGGTTTTGCCTCGCTTGTACTCTTTGAACACCACCGACTTGTGGAGTTGACACTGCTTGCAGTACAACGTCCCTCCCGCATTGAACCACGGCTTGCCAGTGACTGAGTGGACACACGACTTGCATATCCAAGGTTCATCAGCAGCAACCCTACGAGGAGCCATGGCGCGCGCGGGACTCTGGGCCACGGGCCTCTGTGCAGGGAGGCCGTGACTGCAGTGAAGAAAGACTGCCAGGCCGCAAGCGAGCCTTGCCACGCTCGGGAAACAGAGCGATCCCGTTTTGGCACGGAAGCGCGGAGCCCCCAGTGTGCATAGCTCTTGGGCCAAAATGGCTACGGAGGAGGAGGAGGAGGAGGAGGAGGAGGAGGAGGGAGGAGGAGGGAGGAGGAGGGAGGAGGAGGAGGCCCTGTTTGCGGCCCCGAGTTCCTCCGCTGAGGCCCGCACTCTGTCCCCTCGGCCGCCCTGACCCTGCAGGTCTGCTGCGTGCGCCCAGACACCTACATCGTGGCCAATGCCGGGGACGTGTACTTGCACCGGCGCGGGAGGAGGAGGAGGAGGAGGAGGAGGAGGAGGAGGAGGAGGAGAAGGAGGAGGAGACGTCTCCATCCCAACTCCAGGACTCACTGCCACTTGTTGCAAGATCTGTCTGCGCCACGTTTTATCCAGCCTTCCTACCAGGACTGCCCGATTCACCGAGCTCCGCGCCGCCAGCACACAAACACAAACATCGCACATGCCTGCAGCGAACCACAGCCGCCTTCTGTTTGTGTGGAAACGCCTATCTGGCCAAACGATGGACCAAAGTCGAGCCAAGCTATTGGATTGTATGATCCCCCGGCCATTGTCGAAGTTCTTGTGGGAACATTTGCGAGAGGAGGAGGAGGAGGAGGAGGAGGAGGAGGAGGAGGAGGCCTTTGGGGGCTCTTTTGTGCCTCCTTGTGGCCTTTGCGGGGGCGTCATTGTGTGTCTTGGGGGCCTCTAGGGGGCTCTTGGGGGCCTCGTGAGCGTATTGGGGGCCTCTCGAGCGTCTTGGGACGCTCTCGGAGACTTCTTGGGCCGCCTCGGGGCTATCTTGGAGGCCTTGACTCGTCTTGGGGGTTCGGAAGCCCAAACAGTTGAGGAAGCAGAAATCCGCCAAGAAAGTGTAGATGCTCAATGATTTGGCTCTCATCGGGCCCTCCTGGAGGGCCTCGTACGCCCCTCTGGGGCCATATGGGGGGGCTTCTTGGGCCGTATTGAGGCCATCGTGACCCGTTTAGGGGCCCTCTTGGAGTCGTCTTGACGCTATCCTGGCCATGACGGCCAAGACGCCCCCATGGGGCCATTGTGGGCCCTCTTGGGGCCATCTTGACCGTCCTGGGGGCGTCTTTGGACCGTCTTGTAGGCCATCCTGAAGCCACCGTGGAGCCATCTTATAATCCCACTGAACACGCAGTCCACCAGAAACATTTTGGAACTGCCATGCAGAATTCAGCAGTTTGGCACACACATCACCCCTGTAGCAGGCTATGGGGGCCTCTGATCCAGTCTCATCAAGCCACCGAGCCTGGGTCGTGGACACGGGGCCTCGTGGAGCCGTAGAGCCTTCTGGAGAGGCCTTCCGAGGACAGCTTGGGGTCTCGTTGGGGCTTTTGGGATCCTCTTGGGTATGGGCTTCTTGGATGCCTCTTGGTGGCCTGCTGGCGGTCTCGGGTGCCATATTGCGGAGACCACCCTGGGCCCAAATTGAGGCCGTCTCAGGGCCCTCTTGGGCCCTTGTTGCGGCCTCGAGGGCCCTCCAAGGCGGACGTTTGGGGCCTCTCCGCTCGTCTCGAACGCTTCTAGGTCCGAACGGCCGAGGGTCTTCGCATCAAGCAGACAGTGTGCCTGTTTAGTGGTCTGGGCCTCTTGGGCCGACCCCCAGGTCGCAGGCCATGTTTCGGGCTGGACGAAAGGGGGGGATGGGGAAAGGGGGGGGTTCGAAATCTGCTGCATGCAGCTGGTTTCGGCCCCACCGAGGGGCCCATTCTTCGATACATCGCCGTCTCGGGCGCCGGGATGCGCCGGGAAAACCAGCTACGTGAGCTGATTCCCGCCCTTTCGCCCGGCCCGAATGCTGGAAGTGTGGAACCCCAGCTGCGCTCCGGAGTTGAGGCCTCCGAAAACGTCGCGCGGCCCTCCCGGGGGGCAGCGCACAGACGCGCCCAAGAATTTTCCAGAGGTCCGGGGCCTGGGGCCCTGCAGAGGCGTCGAAGGGACTTGAGTTGTGGAGGCCGCTTAATGGAGAGGAAGCATGCTGCCAAATAATTTCCAGATGCCTAAAAGTTGTTTCAACTAGGTTTTAAATGTGTTAAACACACGTTTGAAACATTTTTAGAGCATGTTTCACACACTTAAAAAAACATTTTTGATTCCATGATAGGATGGTTAGAGTGTCCATGTCATGGCATCCACAAGTCTTGAGGACACTCCACTCGAAGGGACTTGAGTGACACGTCAGCCCACTTCTATTTCTGCGATACGGGGTACGGCCACCAGGACGCCTACCTCTTTCCATGCAACGACACTCCACTTCGCGCCTGGCGGCACGGTGCCGGATCGAAAGCGCCTCCGGCGAGTCGCCGCCGCCCCTCACCTCACGGAAACGCCAGTGTCGCAAAGTGTCGAGGACATGTTCAGCCAGGCCAGAGGTCTGCGTTCTCCCCCAGCCGAAGGGCAAAACACCAGGCAGTTCGGCGGGGTCTCTTGGGGCTTCTGGCGTTTGTGGAGCTGCCTGTCGGCGTCGCACCGACTTGCTATATAGTACTATATGTACGTTGTCCCCCCCCCCGGGGGCAACGCGCGCACCGAGAAATCTTATAGCATACGCGCTGTGGCGGGCGCTTTCTGGCCATACCGCTCGGGAAACGATATATTGCGAGATGGTTATCCTAGATGTTCGGGTCGGGCGCATGCCTCCAAGCTGGACATAGTACGGGAGGTTCGCGTCGTGTCGACCGTCAGCGACCCCGCTGCCGGCGTTCAACATTTAGCGCCGGCGGCGGCCCAGAATCGGTCGATATGGAACGGTCTGACGTTTCGGGAGCGGCCGATCGTTCAAGGTTGAACGATCCCCGCGGTGTCAAAAAGCAGTGCCAAAAGTCGGCACGACGTGAACCTGCCGTGATTATTGGTTTGTTGTTGTACGTCCCATCTTGCGGACCTCCTGGGGCTCTCTTGGGCCATCGCGGGGTTCTCTGCGCACGCTTTCCCATCGCTCCGGCTTCCTGGGCCGGCCCCGAGGGCCCCCGCACGGCACCCCCAGGGAGAGAGCTCCTCGGGCTCCCTTGCGGGGGCATCCTGGGCCAACCCCTCGATCCTCCTCATCCTCCTCCTTCTCCTCCTCCTCCTCCTCCTCCTCGTCCTCCTCCTCCTCCTCCTCCCCCTTCTCCTCCTCCCCCTCCTCCTCCTCCTCCTCCTCCTCCTCCTCCTTCTCGTCCTGCCCCCCTCAGAGGATCGAGAACCTTGTGGCCATCTTGCGGCCGTCTGGAAGGCGTCCTGGAGGCCACCCTTGGGAGTACTGGGCTGTCTTGGAAGTACCGTGGCCATCTTCGCGTCTTGAGCCGTCTTGGTCTTAGAAGTAGTGGGTTGTCTTGGAAGTGCTGTGGCCATCTCCACGTCTTGAGCCGTCTTGGGAGTGCTGGGCTGCCTTGGCCATGTTTGGGGGCGGGCTCTGTGCACTCTGGGCGCTCTTGCGGGGTGGCGGCGCGGCAGTCCGAAGGGCCTGCGGGAACCTACCCATATTGCGACCTTTCCCTTGTGTGTGTTTCCCCTTGTGGGGCTTCCTGGGAAGCCCTCGTCGCCATCCGTGGATTTGCTTCAAAATCCTCGTCAGAACGCGCCCTGGCAGAGGTCTGGGGAACACAGTCGGACCCAGGTATAAGATGAGCGTCTGTTCGGGGAGGGTACCCTGTTGTTCTTTGTGTTTGTTGGCTGGTCTTGCGCATCCTGAGGAGGGTACCCTTTGGATGTTCCGTTTGTTTTGGCCCACTGAGGGTCTCATGTTCTTGCGGGGTGTTATTTTGGCCTGGGTCCGACTGTAGTGGTATCGGTACCTTGTGGTTTGCCCACCTACCGTTAAGTTGGGCCTGTCCCTCTACAGGAGGAAGATTTGAAAATAATAAAAAATTGTCGAGGGACCGATTATTTTTCATTCTTATGTTTTATCAGTTTTGATATGCTTGAGTATTTAAATTTTTCGCCCAAAATCCACCTGTAGGGGGACACGCCCGACCTAAGCCTGCCGCGAGTCACCGCCACCCCGTTGCCTCTTGGAAGCGCCAACGCAGCGGCCACGTGGGCCCGCGACCGAGTGCGCCAGCCACCGAGCCGTGCCCACGGTGCGCCAGAGGACAAGATCGGGACCCCTGCGACGTCGTGTTGTGGAAGTCGATTAATGGAGAGGAGGCATGCTGCCAAATCACTCCCAGATGTCTAAAAGATGTGTCAAATGTGTTGTTAAGCATGCTAGAAGCATGTTTAAAACATGTTTAGAGCGTGTTTTACACACTTTAAACACATCTGTAACTCACAAATGTAGTGTTCCTTCCAGCCACAGAGTTCCAGCCTTACGTCGGGCGCGTCCCTCTACAGGAGGAACATTCAGACGTAATCGCGAAATAGTCTGGGGGCGATGTTTCTAGTATGTTCGGTATTTTCTTGCATCTTTGCTTACAGGAAAAATCGTCCAAAAGCCGCCTGTAGGTGGACATGCCCGACCTAATTCCAGCCCTGGGGCACCAGGGCAAGAACGACAGGGCAACCTGGCAGGAACGAACACTCTCGCCCTGATCGTGCACCAGCCAGAGAGCTCCACCCAACGGTCACCGGGGCAAGAGCGAGAATTTGCGACCCACTAGTGCACCACTCATAGAGTACAAACCATAGGGCACCAGTGCAAAAACGAGAACTCGCTACCTACTCGCGCACCAGACAGGTAGGCGACGCTCCCACATTTCCATTTGGGCGGCAATATTGTGTTGATGTATCTTGTATAAGCGAGAATCTGGCGCGCTCCGCAACCCCGCGATGCAAAACTGAGGAGGTCCAGAGGAAACGACGGCACTTGACCGCATCGGTGACATCATCGTCGGGCGTCACTTCATTGATGCTCAGCTTTGCGTCGCCGGGGGAGGGGCGCAGCTGGCTTTGCGCGGAGCCGCGCGGTCACGAACTTCAGTTCCGGGCAAGGCCCGACATTCTTCCCGTGCGTTCGGCGACACGACACAAATATGAATTGTGTTACGACGGCTCTTTCGGGAGGCGGCCTCTACATACATCATGTTTCAGCGCACCACGCAGACGGCAACATGGCAAGAACGAGAAGTCGCCACCTGATAGTGCACCATGCACCAACCAAAGAGCTCCACCCATAGGGAACCAGGGCATGAACGAGAAATCTTGACCGCATAGTACACCAGCCAGAGAGCACCACCCAAGAAGGAGAACTCTCGATCCAACAGTGCGCCGACTACAAAGCACCACCCTTTGGGTACCAGTGCAAGAATGCGAACTCGCAACTTCCAGGTGATCCAGTCGGAGAGCACCACCCATTGGCACCGATGCAATAATGACAATTCCCAGTGTCGTAAGGCACCAGCGAAGGATCACCACCCGTAGTGCACCAGGTCAAGGACGCGACGTCGCGACCCAGCGCATCAGCCATAGAGCTCCCCGCACAGGCGTACGATTTATTTGTTGGTCCTTCGCTGGAATGTCGAAAGCATCCGAAGAGTCGGATTTCGTAGCCAATGGCTCGAGCCCCCGCTCTTCTGACTCGAGCACGTTTTTGTCTCCGAGCGAACCTCAGTAGCGCCTGCGTCGGAGCCAGAATGGATGCGGACGTGGCAACGAAAATGGCGTTCGCACGCATCCGTGTCAGCGCCGAGCACCTAAAAGGATTCGGCCGAATCCTTCCAGGAACGCGGCGCAATTGTCGCTGACTTTTGATCTTCGCGTGGGCGCCCGACGCAACAATGCACAGTGTCTGATCTGGGAGCTCTCGGCAGCGAAAAAACAAGGATGATGGCAAATGTAGGCGATTATGGTGAGACGGCCGACGGTGGTCCTTCATCGGCGTTCCGAGACCTCCGCGGCGATGCGATGCGGGACTCGGGAGTTCATGGGACCTTCGCACAGTGGCCCGGGATGTTGGAAACTATTCTTGTTTACGTCGAGGACATGTTGCACAATCATCACGGGGGCCCTTTTGGGGGGCCGGCGGCAGAGGCGGCAGCCTGTAAGTGAGTTTGGGTCCCCCAAATTCGAGTCGGAGGTTGATAGACCTCCGACCCTGACACGTCGATTAGCGAATTGGCCGTTTTCGGTTCGCGAGAGGGCGTCGCGGCCGTCATTTTTGCGGGTTCCGTCAGTTTCGGTCTTGGGCCGTTCTTACTAAAGGGAGGTCTACCAAAGGGAGGCTTGTCCACCGCTGATTCGAGGCCTATGTCTCTCCGATGTGACGCAGGTCGATGCGCCCCGCGCGAAACACAGGCGCAGTGATGCCGAGTCCTCGGAGCTCCTGCTGCTCAGTGCCGGGGGGAGAGGGAGGATGGGATGGTCAGGAGGAGGCCAGACGGGAGGAGTGGAGAGATCATGCCGGGGGAGGGGAGGGGGGAGACAGAGAGAAAGAGGGAGAGAGAGAGTGGGGGTCATAAAGAAATGCATGAAGAGGGCATGCCTAGCATCTGCCAGGATAGCCGGGCTGTGCTCTGCCGGAGGGGCAAGGCCATCGCAGCTCCGTCCGGCCTGAACGCCCCGTCACCTTCAGAGTTGCCGCGCTGCGTTGTTGCCGCGCTTTCATTGTTCGTCCTTCGGCCAGCAGCTACTCGCCTCATAATCATCGTCATCAGCGTTTTCATCATCACCATTATCATCACCATCATCATCACCACCCTTCATCACCCTCATCCTCATTTTCATTATCATTATCATCATCAGCAGCAGCATCATCATCAGCATCGCCAGCAGCATCATCATTATTATCACTATCATCGTCGTCGTCATCATTCTCATCCTCATAGTCTATCGTCGTCGTCACCATCATCCTGCAGGATATTTCTTCTCTCGCTGCCACCCCTATCATCGTCGGTTCTCTTTCACACTCGCCGGTGTGATGCACGCCATGGCGGTGGCAGCGCCCGGCCCTTTCGGGTGGCCCGAGCCCTGGCGGCCAGCGAGCAGTCCGGGGGGTAAAAACAGGAGCGGCCGCGGGGGCGAGCGGCGGCCCGGGCCGTGGCCCGACTGCAACACGGGTGCCCCGCGGGAGTGTCTCGCGCCCCGGCGGGCCCGCACGGCCTTTTGGGCAGCTCACGGAGCTCGGAGTCGACGAATCTGGTGGGTTTGTTCTCCACCACCACCACCACCACCACCACCACGAGTAGGAGGGGAAGGGGGTCCTCCTCCTCCTCCTCCTCCTCCTCCTCCTCCTCCTCTTCGTCGTTCTCCTCTTCATCCTCCACCTCCTCCCCCCCTCCAACTTATGGTGGTGGTGGTGGAAAACAGGCCCATCAGAATCGCTGCGGGGGGATCCTGCAGGAGGGAAGCGGGTCCCCAGGTTTTGATCGCTGTGTCTTGGGCTTCCCGAGGCTCCCCACGGGTCCAGGGGCTTCGAGAAAACAGTGCACGGCTTCTACCAGCCGAGGGGGCAAGAGAAAGAGACGACGAAGAGACGACACGACAGAGACGAAGAGGAAGAGACGACGACGGGAAAGGGAAACGACGAGGAGAAGGGAACGACGAAGCGACGACACGAAGAGAAAGAGACGACGAAGAGAAAGAGACGACGAAGAGACGACACGGCAGAGAGTGCGTAGGGGCGGGGGGAGCAGCAGAGGGGGATGCGCGCAACGCTGCGCGCGCGCTCCGGGCCCTCAAGGGAGCCCGCGACCCCCCGGCAGGGCGGGCCCTCAAGGGGGCCCGCCCGGCCTGGGGCACCTCGCGGAGCTCGGAGTCGACGAGGGATGTGTACCTAGAGCCTGCACTTCCTAGAGCGTGCTTCCTCATTGCTTGGGGCGTAATGGGCATCATAGCCCCGGGCCCCCCCCCTCCGTCCCCCCACCCCCCCTATATAACGTAATGCCCCTCCCCCCCGAGCGCGCTCCGGGCACTGCCGCCGTGCGCACGGCGGGGGGTAGGAGTTACATTATATACCCCCCCCCTGACTCCTCACCCCCCCTATAATGCTCATTATCGCCGAAAATAAAGAAGCGCGCTCTAATAGCATGATTCCTTCGTGTGCGACTGCTGCAGTTCAGCAGCCTCCCGCAGTGCTGCAGTTCAGCAGCCTCTGCTCCAGTGGGGTAAAGAAGGGTGGAGTCGGGGGTGGGAGGGGCCACGGGCGCTCGCAATGAGGGGGAGAGGTGATCGTGTCGGGGGTCGCGTGGAGGCCCTGGAACAGGCCCTTCAGCGCGTTGGGCGCGGGGGGGTGGGCGGCTGTCCAGCGTCGGGCGCGGGGACAGTGGACCATATGCGTCGGGAGCGGAGTCGGACGGGCCTAGAATCGAGATAAATCCGTTCCAGAGCGTCCTGGAGCGCTCCCAGAGCTTTCGGCAACGCTCTGGAACGGCCGCGGCTCCCGATACGTCCTCCAAATCCGCCGATTCTCAGAGCTTTCCAATGCACAGCGGTCCGATGCTGTTCCGATTCCTGCCTTCGTCTCAGACAGCGGCGAGACAGAGGGACCACCGCCACCGCGCAGCGCACACGACGCCCCACCGGCCCAGCGCTCGCCCGGTGTGGGCCAAGCGGCGGGCGGAGGACCTGTCGGAGGACCACAAGCCCAACCTCCCGACGGAGAGGTCCCGGATCGAGAAGGCGCCCAGCGTGCGCGGGGCGGCCAGTTAACGTTGTATAAGAATCAAGAGGCACAACCCCGAAGGCATACCAACCCGAGAGTGCAACAGAAGCCTTGGGTATGAGACACCCCGAGGGCATACAAGAAAACCGAGGGTATGCCGACAGTATAGGCAAACACCCGAGGGTTTGTTATACCCTTTGGCATCCGCGCGCCCAGCTGCGTGCACAAGGGGGGTGAGGGGGAGGGGGGAAGGCTTCATAGAAGGAGGCGACTTCTTAGAAGATGCAGGCCTTGTCTGTAGAGGTAGGCCCCGCGCCTTCTAAGAGCAGCCTCCTTCCAAGATGCCGTTCCCCCTCCCCCCAGCCCCCTTGTGCGCGCCGCCAGGAGGCGCCCAGCCTGCGCGGGGCGGCCAACCACGACACCCTCGCGTTGATCAGCCACGCACGCAGTCGGGCGTTGCCCCCCACGATTTCCAAGGTGCCCCCCAGGATTTCCAAGGACGCCACCACGGCCTCCAGACGGCCCCTCACGAGGCCCAGAGGGCCCCGGGGGCTCCAACATGGAGCGGAAAGCTGGAGGCACCTTGTGCCAGGGGCACCCTCAGCACCCCCCGACACGCGTGGGAAGGCGTCTTAGAAGGGGGCTGCTTCTCAGAAGGCACGGGCTTTGTTCGTAGATGCCGTGGTGGGTGGCGACCTGAGTGGGGGGTGCAGAACAGGGCCGTTGGTTGTTTTGTTTTGCTTTCGGGTGCCCTCAGTGGGCCCTGGGTCCTGCCAAGAACAAGCCAGGATGAATAGCCGATTCTCGGGGAGGGGTCTAGATCCCTGGGGGGCCACGCTGTGAACAACATCGCGACGTCGGAGGTCTGGAAATCGGAAGGGGCCGACGCCTGCCCGCTGAGATCTGGGTGTCGCATTTCGTGTCGCAGCGGGCGCCTTCGCCCGGAGTTCGGGCCGCCGATTTTTATCCAGAGTCTTTTTGTTGATGGTCCCAGAGCCTGGTCAGGGTCGAAATCTGCCGGCTCAACCTTCCGTCGCGATGCTGTCACGACGCGAGAGTGTCAGGGTTGATGGTGTGGTGTCGCTTCTCGTTGTTCCCACCATCATGGTGGCGCTGGCGCAGGGCCCACGCAGCCACGCGCGCGAAGAACGCACGACACGAGAGGCCTGGGGTTCGACCTTCGAGGTTTCCTGTCTTGAGGTTTGAGATTTTCAGGCGTTCTCCGTTGGTCTCGGCGGGATCCCAGTCTCGGGGATGCTTTCCGGCAGCTGCGCCTCTCCGATAGCGATCCAGGGGTGCCCGCATCGTCCCGAACGGCCGCCAGAGGCCCGAGTTCTGGCCCGAAAGCCTACATCCTCGCGTCGTGAAGAATTGCGACGGAAGATGTCAGACAATCTTCTGCCTCTGGGGCCAAGCCCCAGGAGATTGATGACCCGAATGCCAGACGACGAGGATCGGTCGGGGCGGACGAGGCGGGGGGATGGAGAGGCGGCGGGGGGGTGGGGAACATGTGGGGCAGAGCAGCCCGCGAGAGCACCCGCGGCGCTCCGAGGGGCCAGGGCGGCACACGATCGTGAGCGCAGGCGGGTGCATTCTCGGAGGGGGGGTCGCCGGGTGGCCTACCCTGGCCTTAGGTCGGGCCTGTCCCTCTGCAGGAGGAATGTTCAAAAATAGGAAAAAGAATAGTCCGGAGACGTTTTGTTTTTTTAAAACCATTTTGGAATATGTTGGGGGTATTTTTCCTTGTTCGTCCAAAATCCCCCTGTAGGGGGACATGCCCGACTTGACCCTGGCCTTTCAGGGGGGCTGAAACATAGCACTGGGACGTCGACGTCCAAATTTCCGTCGAGGCTGTAGGCAGTCCAGGTGGGGCTATTTACAGGTGTGGAGGGTTGTTCTTGTAGCACTCTGGAAGGTCAGGATCGGCCTCCTCGCGTCGTGAAGGAACCAGTTGCTTTGGCCTCCGGCGGTGAGACGGTCACGCCGCGATCGAAGTAGCAACCGGGCTGCGGAGGCGCGAGTTGCGCACTTCAGTTGGGACGCGCATCAGGAAACTGGATGCTTGGGTTTCTCCGTTCCGCGCGCTGCGCGGTGACTTCCCGCGGCCGTTCAAGAAGCTGTAGCGTCAAGGGTGCTCCGGGCTTCCCCCAAGGTTGCATCTCGCGGGCGGGTTCTCAAAGTTTGTTTTTTGTATGGGTTTCTTGCGGCCGCGTTCGCACTGTAGAGGAAGCGCGGGAGAGGGAGGAGAGGCAGCTGCGGAGAGGAGAAGGAAAGACGAGTGACAAAACACCGACGGCAGGCTGCTGTGGCCGCTTTCGGCCACCTGGAGGGGCCCTTGCCGGGCCTGCAGCGCCGTCAACAGAACGGCTCGGGGTGAGATCTGTCCCCAGGAGGCTGAACCGAGTGGCCCAGGGACGCCGCATGACACGAGGCGCTCCAGGAGCCCCCCCCCAAGAGGCCGCACGACACCACCACCACCACCACCACCACCACCACCACCACCACCACCACCACGACCACCACCACCACGACGACGACGACGACGATGACGACGACGACGACGACGACGACGACGGCCACCACCAGCACGGCGACGGCCACCATCACGACCACGCCAGCGACGACCACGACCGCGACGGCGACGTGCTGCAGCCAACGACCACCACGACCACCACGGCGATGGCCACCACGACGGCCACGACCACCACCACCACGACGACCACGACAGTACGATCGCAGCCACCGCGTGCCACAACCACAACGGCTCCTCCTCCTCCTCCTCCTCCTCCTCCTTCTCCTCCTCCTCATTTCGAGCGCGGCCCAATGGTCTCCGCGAGACCGTGGCCGAGGCCTCCTCCTCCTCCTCCTCCTCCTCCTCCTCCTCCTCCTCCTCCCACCTCCTCCGCCGCCACCACTACCCACCGCCACGGCGGTGACGGCGGTGACGTGCCACAGCCCAGCGCCCGCGCGGCCGCGGCTGCCCGCCCTGCGCCCTTTCGGAGGCCGGCGGCTTCATCACCGAGAAGGACGTCGGCCTGCCCAGCCCGGTCTACCGCGTGAACGGGGACGGGCGCTCGCGCGCGCGTCAGAGCCCCGATTCACCAGAGTCGAGTCGGGCGTGTCCCTCTACAGGAGGAATATTCCAAAGTAGTCAAAAACTAGTCCGGGGACGATTTTTTCAGCATTTGTTTGTTCAGTTTTGTTTTTTGGTTTACGATCTTCAATATGTTGTCGAAAATCCCCCTGTAGGAGGACATGCCCGACCTGACACCAGGGCTGGGGGCAGTGAGGGGTAGCTGCAGATTTGCGTCTCGGGTGCCAAAACTGTTTTGCCGATCGGCGCGGGCCCTCGCACCCCTCTCCCCCCCCTTTGGAGTAGATCTTGGCTGTTCCTGGCGCCTGATTCGAGCGGGCGGGGCCTGTCCTCCATAGGACGCACTATGTTGCAGACAGTCGCGTGGAGCAGAGGTCGGGAGCCAGACCCCCCACCCCCCACCCCTTCCGCCCGAGGCCGAAACGCCGAATAAGAAAACGCTCACGGGGCAGTGAGGAGTAGCTACAGATTCGCGCCTCGGGTGCCCAATCCCGAGTTACCCCGGACCGCAGCCATCCCAGATCGTTCGGGCGTCCAACCCCCCTCCCGAATCATCAGGGCTGGGGCGCGGTCAGGGGTAGCTACAGATTCGCGCCTCGGGGGCCCAAACTGGAGTTGCCCTGGACCGCAGTGTTCCTGGATCGTTTGGGCGTCCAGCCCTCCCGAATCACCAGGGCTGTGGCGCAGTCAGGGGTAGCTGCAGATTCGCGCCTCAGGGGCCCAAGCTGGAGTTACCCTGGACCGCAGTTTTCCCAGCTTGTTCGGGCGTCCATGGGCGAAACTTAAAGTATACCCCCCCAACAAATACCCCAACATGGTCCAAACTGTAGTCGAACAAACGTCCCCAGACTATCTTTTGCCTACTTCTGGATATTAAGTGCCCGACCTCAGTGCAGCCACAGATTCGCGCCTCTGTGGCCCGAGCTGGCGCTGCCCCGGACCGCGGTGCTCCCGGATCGCTCGGGCGTCCGAGCGCGGGCGGGTGCGCCTCGGGGGTTGGGTGCTGCTCGCCGTGGGGGGAGCGCGGTATCCTCGGCTTCTTCCTCGTTCTCCTTTCTCCTCCTCCTCCTCCTCATCATCCTCATCCTCCTCCTCCTCCTCCTCGTCCTCTTCCTCCTCCTCCTCTTCTTCCTCCTCCTCCTGTTCTTCCTCCTCCTCCTCGTCCTCTTCCTCCTCCTCCGGTTCTTCCTCCTTCCCCTTCTTGCTGCTCGCCGTGGGGGGGGGGCGGGTACTGCAGGGAAGCGCGCCCTGAGGTTGGGCGCCGTCTTCGGGGGCCCTCGGGGCCCTCCACGGGCCCCTGGGCTGTCAGAGGACGAGGTAGGATGACGACCTCGTCCTGTCAGGAGGACGACCTCGTCCTGGAGGACGGCGTCGTCGAGTCTGGAGGGAAGCGCGTCCTGAGGTTTGTCGCCGTCTAGGGGCTCTCGGGGCCCTCCAGGGTCAGAAGGCGAGTCGGGATGAAGACCTCGTCTTGGAGGAAGGTCCCCCCCGGGGTCCGGGGCCCGCTTCCCTCAGGGCCCGTCTCCCCCATGCCGAGCTGCTCGAAGTGCCCCTTGGCACAAGGTGCTCCCAGGATTTCCAAGGAGGCCCCCACGGCCTCCAGAACACCCCTCACGAGGCCAGAGGGCCGCATGGGCCCCAGAATTGAGAGGAAAGCGGGGGGCACCTTGGGACAGGGGCACCTTGAGCAGCCCCCGACCCGGGGGGGCGATGGGCCGGGGTGCAGATCGGGGTGGAACGGGGATGATCAAGGGGGGTGCCCGCAAGGGGAGCGAGCTCGTGAGTGCTGCGTCCGCTTCTCCCGTTCTGTGGATGCAGCAGGGCGGCCAGGCGTAAAACGTAGGGGGCGCAATTAGATGCAGTTGTTGTCGTGATGATTGCGATTTCATCGTCCGTTCTTGCCGGTGCGTTGTTGTAGCAAGAAGTCATACAGCTTTTTGGCGGTTGGCCATCATAACGTAGCATTAGTAGTATATTTGATCACATGTGGGTTCCATCGGTTTCTCACGCTATACGCCCCGCAGCATGGACCTTGTAGATGCGTGTCAGCTCCTTTGTGATGCAAGGGGGACGCTGGGACAACGGACGACGACATTTCCCCTCCCTCTTCTCCTCCTCATATTCTTCCTCGTAGCCCTTCCCCATAGCGTGCATCCCTGTCTTATCCTCCTGCTTGTCCTCGTCCTTCTCGTCTCCGGGCCGCCGCAGGGTGGCCAGGAAGGCAAACCTCCTCGAGCGAGATTGCGGATCTCGCGCGCAGCCCGCCGTCTGATCCAGTCCCCCTCGTTGTCGCTGTCATCATCCGCCTCCTCCTCCTCCTCCTCCTCCTCCTCCTCCTCCTCCTCATTCTCCTCCTCCTCCTCTTTCATCCCTCCCTGCCCCCTCCAAGCTCTCCCTCAGTGAGGCGTTTCGTTTCCTGGTGCAGGGGGAGTGTGACGCCTTCTGAGAGGCAGCCCCGGATAGAGAGAGAGGTTGCGGCACCGCGTGGCCCCCCTTTGAAGCTGTTGATGGCTGTGCGGGCCAGGCTTAGCCGGCATAGCTCTGGCAGCAAGCCTCCCTCCCCCCTCGGGCCTCCCCCCTCCCTTCTGCCTCCCTCGCCTCCCCTCGCTTCCCCCTCCCTTCCCTCTTCCCCCTCCATTCCCCCTCCCTGCCTCTCCCCCCCGCTCCCCTCCTCCGTCCTGCACGCTGGGGGGCGGCGACGGCAGGTTGCAGGCGGCCCCCACAAGCTGGCGCGGGCAGGACCTGACCTGTTCGCGCGCCATCGGCGACCTGCGCCACAAGAGGAACACGAGCGCGGCGCCGCAGGACCAGGCGCCTCCCGCCCTCCCCTCCCCATCCTCCTCACTCGCTCTCTCCTCCTTGCCTAAAATCGTTCTCTCGCTCTCTCCTTCTCTCTTTCTCTCGTTCTCTCGATATCTCTCTTTCTCGCGCGCTTTCTCTCTCTCTCTCTCTCTCTCTTTCTCGCTCTCTCGCTCTCTCGCTCTCTGTCTCTCGCGCTCTCCCTGTCTCTCTCTCTCTCTCTCTCGCTCTCCCTCTCCCTCTCTCTCGCTCTCCCTGTCTCTCTCCCTATCTCTTTCCCATTCCCCTCCCCTCCTCCCTCTGCCTCCCCCACTCCGGCCCGCCGGGGCTCGGAGGGTCGAGGAGACGTGCTTCCCTTTGGAGCGCTGGCTCGCTCTCCTCCCCCTTCTCCCCCTAATTCCCCCTTCTCCTCCTCCTCCTCCTCCTCGTCCTCCTCTTTCTCCTCCTCCTCCTCCTCCTCCTCCTCCTCCCCGTTTTCATCCTCCTCTCCTCCTCCTCGTTCTCCTCCTCCTCGTTCTCCTCCTCCTCCTCCTCCTCCTCCTCCTCCTCCTCCTCCTCCTCTTCCTCCTCCTCCTCCTCCTCCGCCTTCTCCTCGTCCTCGTCCTCCTCCTCTTCCTCCCTCTCCTCCTCCTCGTCCTCGTCCCTCCTCCTCCTCCTCCCTCGTCCTCCTCGTCCTCCTCCTCCTCCTCCTCCTCCTCCTCGTCCTCGTCCTCCTCCTCCTCCTCCTCCTCCTCGTCCTCCTCGTCATCCTTCTCCTCCTCCTCTCCTCCTCCTCCTTCTCCTCGTCCTCCTCCTCCTCCTCCTCCTCCTCTTCCTCCTCCTCGTCCTCGTCGGCCTCCTCCTTCTCCTCCTCCTCCTCCTCGTCCTCGTCCTCGTCCTTCTCATCCGCCTCCTCCTCCTCCACCCTGCGAAGCCCGAGTTGCTCAGCTCGTTCGCACGGAAGCGCCGGTCGCTGGCGTCTTCGGGCAGGTCCACCGCGACCCCGCCCCAGGCATGCTCAGGAGGCGGCGCGCTGTGCTGCTCCCCACCCGCCGCCGAGGATCTGGGCAGGCAGGGTCGCCCCGCGCAGGATAGGACAGCGGGTCGGGTCGTCGGTTGTGTTGTTTCCGCCCCTATGCGAGTGCACTCCTCCTCCTCCTCCTCGTCCTCCTCTTGCTCCTCCCCCTCCTCCTCCTCCTCCTCCTCCTCCTCCTCCTCCTCCTCCTCCTCCTCCTCCTCCTCCTCCTCCTCCTCCTCCCCCTCATCCGCCCCCTCTCACAGCTAATCGGTGGGGGCGTTCGTCGTTAAGGAATGTGCCCAGTAGGCTTTCCTCTCTGGAGGATTCGTTCTCTGTCGAGGGCGGCGGTGATAGCCATGGCCAATCCACGATTCCAGAATCCATGGCTTCCCGACCCTGGATTCTTTATTCAATGGTTCCTTAGCCAATGACCTCACCGTGGCGGTGGTCGCCCCCCCCCCCTTGCGGGGCGCGCCAGGTCGTCATCAGCACGCCAGACGTCCGCGTCGTCCGCCGCGAGCCCGGCGACGAGTTCGCCGTGCTCGCCTGCGACGGCGCGGCGGGGGGCCAGGGCGGCTCGAGGCTCCGTCGTTCGAGGGTTCCGGCCTCGGGGCCCGAGGTCTTCGGCCTCGAGGTCTTCGGCCTCGGGGCTCGAGGCTCGAGGCTCGAGGTGTTGGGCCTCGAGGCCTCTGTGGTACGCGAGCGGCTCGGTCGGCTCTCGGCGCTCTGCCGGCCTCGGGCTGCTCTCCTCCGGGAGCGGCGCCTCGCCGAGAGCTTCTTTTTTGGGAGGGGGGGGGGGGCCTCCCGGGGGGCCCTTCCCGAGCGGCCGCCGGGGCCCACGCTTCGACCAGAAAAAGCCGGACGCTGAGGATCACTCGGGCCGTACGAGGAGTCGGAGGCGGACAGACCTGCGGGCAATGTCTTTATCCACATCCAGTGCGTCTGGAGTTTCGGACACTCTTCCCAAGAAACATGAGGCGCACTGGATATGGATCATAATCTGCCTCCAAAAGGCTCAATCTTTATCCATATCCAGTGCGCCTCGGCCTTGCGGCGCCTCTTCCAAGAAAGTCCAAGACGCACTGGATATGGATATAAATATTGCCCGCAAGACCTCCTGCCCTGGCGCGTCGATTCAGGACTTGGCCGTGTTCGGTTCGCGGGAGGGCGTCGCGGCCGTCATTTTTGCGGGTCCAGGCCCGTCGGTTTCGGTCCCAGGCCGTTTTCATTGAGAGGTAGTAAAGGGAGGTTCGTCCACCGCTGAGAAAGGAGGGGTTCAAGGGACGGGGGTCCATGCAAACGGGGGCCAGCGTACGAAAGTAGGCATAAAAAGGGACCAATGTGCATCCATGCCAGAGCGTTCCGCCACGTTCCCGGAGCGTTCTGGAACGCTCTCTGGGAAGGCGGCGGCGCCTGAGACGTCTTCCAGAGCCGCCGGATCTCAGAGATTCTCGACTTTATCCTCACCCGATGTTTTCCTCGCCCTGGCTTCGTCTGAGGACTGCAAGGGGAGGGTCGAATTAAGTCGGGCGTGTCCCTCCACAGGAGGAACATCTAAAATAGTCCAAAATAGTCCGGGGACGATTCTTGGACTGTTTTTGAATATTCGTCCAAAATCCGCCTGTAGGGGGACATGGCCGACCTGGGGGTAGAAACCCACTGCACATGCAGGTGGTCGCCGCCACGCGCTCTCCTCCACGCGCGGGCGCCTGCGGCACCGGCAGGCGCTGGGCGGAGGAAGGAGATGCGAGCAGCTGCTTCGCTGGCCCCCTGCTCGCCTGGCCTTCCAGGAGGGCAAAAAAGCATAACACCAGGACGTCGACGTCTCAATTCCGGTCCAGGTTGTAAGCCGTCCCGATAGGCCTGCTGGTCTGGAGGGCCACGCTCTAGCACTCTGGCAGGTCGGGGTCGCCATCCCCTGACATCCTCGCGTCGTGGAACACGTCGCGACGGGAGAGGTTTGGCCTCTGGAGGCGCCTGCCGGGTCCCGGGGCCGCAACGAAGACTGGGCTCGGGGGGAGGCGGGCTGTCCCGGGGAAGAGCTCCCGACCACTTGGGAGGCACGCCGCCGAGAAGAGCACGACGTCGTATACGGTGGGGCCCCTCCCCTGTCCCGGGCCGAACGAGAGGGGGGGACAGAGGGAAAGGGAGGGTTACGAAGTCTGCTGCATGCAGCTGGTTTCGGCCCCGCCGCCGGGCCCATTCCTCGATACATGGGCGCCTCCCGGCGGCGGGAGGCGCCGGGAAAAGCAGCTACGTGAGCTGATTCTCAAACGCCCCCTTTGCTATCCCCCCCTTTTCGCCCAGCCCGACTGTCGTCGGCCCCAGTCCGTCCACGGCTGCTCCAGCTGCGGTCCGGACACACCTGTGGGGGCCATCGGCTTCGACGCTCCTCTCCTATAGAGAGTGTCGACGGGAGGGGCGTTTCCCCAGGGGGGTAAAGTCAAGTCGGGCCTGTCCCTCTACAGACGGAATATCAAACAATAGTCCGATATAGTATGGGGACGATTTTTTGATTATTTTTTGTTGACCATTTTGGAGCATTTCTGGAGCGTTTTTTATTTTTCACATAAAATCCGCCTGTAGGAGGACACGCCCGACCTAAGGGTAAAGGCACATCAGGTGAGAAATCGGCCTGCCCGCGGGTGCCCCACGGAAATATCTGCTCCCCCGGTGGGCGCAGAGGCCGGCAAGAGATCTGGGGCACCCCAGGGCCCTCGACGAGTGACGCATCGTGTGCCCCACGATTTTTTCTTGCAGTCGACCCGCAGAGTCAGGATGGTCGGCTTCCCCAGGGTGCCCTTGCACCCTTGCCTCTTCAGGCATCTTCTGCCCATGCTCAACCACTTTCGATGGCCAGCCCCGCTCGAAGAGCCTCGGCATGGGCGTCCAAGGCCCTTGCATCGTTTCGGCGCCTCCTCACAATACGGGGTTGACTGCCCGGCAAAATCTCTAGCTCCGTCTATCGGCTGTAGGGAGCACGCTCCCCCCGCGGCTGGTCGGGCAGAGCCCGTCTACCTCTCCGTATTGCTCCTGAATTTGTCCGCTGGGCGGTGAAGGCACACTTCGCACTTCGACTCATGAGAGCATCGCGCGCAGTCCTGCCCCTCGCGGGCCACCGTGACAGGACTTTACCCTTTTTGACTTGTTTGACCTCTTCGTGCTCTTCTCGCCTCACTGGCGCCTCCCCTGCGCGGGCGCCCTCCTGCCCTCCTGGGTTCGAGCATCGAGCCCTTGAGCGTCCCCGGGGGCCGAGAGGCCTCCGGAGGCCTCCAGGTGGCCAGCCTGCAGGGGCTTCTGGAGGCTCCTGCGACCTTCCACCAGCTTCCATGGCCGGCCCGTGCCTCTCTGGGAAGGCACTGGCGATCACCGCCTTGACCTCAAGTGTGCGCGGGGACAACGTCTTCTCGACGTCGGCGGCGTCTGGAGGGGCGAAGGCATTGACCGCGAAGGGGCTCCCTCCGGGGCCGACGCTTCCGCCATCCCCCCCCGAACGCCAGCCAGAGCAGCCCCAACTTGCCAGCTCGGAGGAGGCCGGCCGATGTTTCGGCCAGCGCGTTTCTTGTTCGTCCCTCTGGTCTGTTTGCAGTTTCCTCCCAACAGTGCCTCCATCTGCCGTGCCGGGAGGCATATGGGACGTGCTCAGCAGCCAGCAAGTCATCGACTTGTTGCGGCCGCAGGCAGCTGCCGCCGCCCGTTGCATTCCAGCAGGAATGTCGAAGAGGGCGGTGGCCGCACATGCATGAGGCAGCGTGCCGATTGTGTGCCACCGGATGGAAGGTGTATGATCGTTGGGGGCGCGAGCATTCAAATTGAAAGGTATCAGGCGGTCTTGTCCATGGTCCAATTTGAATGTAGCGTTTTCGCCTCCGCGTTCTGTCTTCAGTCGCTCGCAGGCACGCGCGTAATACTTCGCATCGTTGGGTATTGTCCGTTTGTGTGTGTGTTGCGAATCGTTCGCCTGCGCCTGATCCGATGGTTGGCCTTTGGTGTCCCTAAGTCTAGGGGTCGTTGCAGTGTTCGTATGTAATATTGTGCGACTGCGTGTTTGGAGGGGCGCGCAAGTGCACTTAATATCCAGGAGGCGACCATGAGTGCGAAATCTGTGCGAAGAGCATTCGTATCAGCAGTGGCCAGCAGTCACGGAGAGGAGAAGGCAACGGGATGAGAACGCGAGTCTCCATCTTCCGCGTCTCCTCCGAATCCTTCTCCCTCCGAGCCGCAGGACTGCTTGCCTCACGAGTCCGCTCTTCTTGGTACGCTTGATACCATGTCCTTGCCAGTTGTATTGTTTCTTCTTGGTATCCAGATGTGTAAGATACGTTGTCGCCATTGTTCTCATCAGTGCTAACAACTCATTGTGACCATTCGTAATCACATCCTCCTCCATCCATGTCCTCCTCCCTCGCCCTCCGTCCGCTTGCCCGCCCTCCGCCGCCCATCCCTCCCGGCTGCCCCTCCGCGTCGACTCCAGCCCTGGGCCACCACAAGTGCGGTCGAGCACGCGCTCAGCGGGGATCCCCTCGCCTGGCGCCGTGCGCTCCCCTCGCGACTGGGGATGCGCCGTTCGCGCACCGGGGCCCCGCGCGGGCACCGCGCATCGGCGCACATTTTCTACGTCCCACATCCCAATTGGGGATGACATCCTCTCTGGGCACCACCGCGCAGGAACAGGACCAGGAACACATAGGACACCCCATCATCATCATCATCATCATCATCATCATCATCATCATCATCATCATCATCATCATCATCATCATCATCATCATCATCATCATCATCATCATGATCATCATCATCATCATCATCATCAGCAGCAGCAGCATCATCATCATCATCATTATCATTATCATTATCGTCATCATCATCATCCTCATCATCATCGTCATCACCATCATCATCATCATCATCACTATCATCATCATCACCATCAGCATAATCCGAATCATCATCATAATCGTCATAACTATCACTATCATCATCAGCATCATTATCATTATCATTATCATGGCCAGTGCCGCTGGGGCGAGGGTGTACGCAGCGTCGAGGTGCGCGCAGGAGTTGCAGTCTCCTTCGCCGAGCCCCAGCATGGGGCCACGCTCACGGCCCCCAGTCTGGTCGGACTCCCAGAGCTTCTTATCTTGTTCGTTACCATCATCATCAGCATCATCATCATCAGCGCCGTCATCATCATCTTCAGCATCATCATTAGTGTTATGCACCTCGTCATCTCACACACTTAGCATTCACTTCTCGTCTACATCTTTATCATCATCGCACGCACAATCGCACACTTACTCACACATTCATATGGAGAAAAATTCGAGCGGCAGCCTCGCTTGTCAATGAGTAGCGAGGCAGCATCCAGCGGGAGCCCCCTCCCTAAGGGGCTCCCATTTCATGTTCTTATCCGAGGCGGTAATCGGCCGACAGGCTGGCAGGCATAGCACTTGAGCGTCCCTAGGGGGGGGGGGGGAAACCCCGAGGATATCTCGAGCGACAGTCCCGTCCGTGAATGAGTTGCGAGGAAATATCATGCGGGAGCTCCCTCCCCCCATTTCATGTTCTAATCCGATGCGGCCATCGGTAGATTGTAGCAGGCACAGCACTTGAGCGCCACAAGGGGGCACATCGTGGGGAAGTCTCGAGCGGCAGCCTCGTCTGTGAATCAGATGCGAGGATCTCGAGCGGACCCCCCTCTAGCCCCCCACATGTCATGCTCTTATCTGAGGCGGTCATCGGCAAACTGTTGCAGACATCGCACTTGAGCACCCCAAGGGGGCAAATCGTGAGGATGCCTCGAATGGCAGCCTGGTGTGTGAAGGAGTAGCGAGGAAGTATCACGCGGGAGACCCCTCCATACGGGTACCGCGCTTCGTGTTCTAATCCGAGGCGGCCATCGGCAAACTGTAGCAAGTTTTGCGCTAGTCGGGCAAACCGTGAAGATGTCTCAAGCGGGGTCTTCTTTGTGCGTGGGCTGCGAGGAAGTATCGAGCGGGAGCCACCTCTCTAAAGGGCTCCCCGTTTCATGTATAAATCAGAGGCGGTCGTCAGCAAACTGCGGCAGGGATAGCACTTGAGCGCCCCAAAAGGGCACATCGTGAGGATATATTGAGCGGGGGTCCCGTGTGTGAGTGAAGTCTGAGGAGGTCTCAAGCGGGAGCCCTTCCGCATCAGGTCCCCGCGCCCCCATGTTCAGAGACCACCTTGTCGCACGCGTCGTACCTCCACGCTGTCGCAGGGCCAGACGTTGCGCAGAGGCGTCGCCATCGACCGCGCAAGGGAAGAGGACGCTGGCCGCACGGGGATGTCGAACGACCAGTGGAGGATGCATCTCTACGTCCTGCTCCCCCGCGCCACCTGCATGCGGAACAAACTGATGTTGCGGCCGCTCCCGCGCGAGTTCCTTGGGCGCGGGCCGCCGATTTTCCTGCGGGAGGCGCTTCGGGAGCTCGGCAACAAAAATAACCGGGAAGTTCCTGGCTTGAGGCGGAGCAGCTCGCGGCAGAGCTAGGCTTTGCGCTGCCTCCCGCCAGAGCGTGGCGGCACGCAGCTTGGAATCTGCGGGTTTATCCCAGCGCCCCAGCGGCCCGCGGGAATTGTTTCACTGACCTGGCTTGCGGGGTTGCCCCGACGGCTTCGTGATCTTGGCGTCGGAGGGGGCGCCCCAGCCAGCCGCGGCAGCGACGGCGCCAAGGCAAATCTACGCGCGCGCCCGTGAGATGGGGGCGGGGGAGAAGGTGCATGAGGAGAACAGACAGGGGGATGAGGAAGAGAAATAGGAGGAGGAAGGCGAGGATGGGGGGATGATGAAGACGAGGAGGAGGAGGAGGAGAAGGAGGAGGAGGAGGAGGACCTGTCTATACCAAGGACTCACCAACGATGTTGCAGCAGACCCTCCTTCCGAATTCCCTCTTTATGTATCCGTACAATAATGTGTGTTCACTGCTGGAACTGCTTGGCGGGAGACAACCGTTTGAAAACCTGCAACCAGGCCAACACATCACGCTTGTCACTTCAGCCCCGCGAGTCAACGTTATTTTTGCGCCCTGGCGATCCTGAACCGTGCCAGAACAACGTTCCTCGTATTCCAATACCGCGATCCACCGTGACAGTTGTGCCCTGACAGTCTTGCACTGTGCCAGGAGAGAAATCATGTATGGGACGTCTGCCGCAGAGTCCTAACCGGGTTGTAACCTCTGAGTGCGATAGTGTGCGGCGGTCGAGCGAGAGTTTCATGCTGAAAAAGAGCCGCCTCTGAAAAAGAGCCGCCTTCGATCCGTGAAACTGCGACAACTTCGATGATTTAGGCTCACAAGCGGTGAGAACATCTCAGGCGAAACGCCTGGCCCGCCCTACTGACGCATCTCGGGGTGCGACGACGGAGTTTCAGTACAAGGATGAAAAAGGAGGGGGAGAAGGAGGAGGACGAGGAGGAGGAGGAGGAGGAGGAGGAGGAGGAGGAGGAGGAGGAGGAGAAGGAAGAGGAGGAGGAGGAGGAGGAGGAGGAGGAGGAGGAGGAGGAGCAGGGGGCGGGAGGAAGGCCCCCGCCTGAGCGCGGAGGAAAGGGTGATAAGGGAGGCGGGACGAGGGCCTCTAGTCTTTCGAGGACGACGCTGAGGGGTACTTGAGAACCGCCCCGGAGGATTCCCCTGCAGGGTCCCATCGCCGGAGTAATTCTCACGTGTTGGGCGTGGGCATCCCGGCCGAGCGCGCAGCGGCACACATGCGGGGCGCAGGCCTTCGCTCGGCGACGCCGTGGCGACAAGCTCGCGCGGGTCGGTCGGCGGCGACGAGAAGGTCGAATTGCCCAGGGGCGGGCATTACACGCATTCGCCCGGGAGCTTCGCCGAAGACATGGTTCATCGGCGCCCCTGGCTATTCGCCCCAATCGTCACCTCTGAGACGGGGGTGGGGGCCCTCGCGCGCCAGGCACAACGTGAGGGCCTGGTTCAGGGGCGGACCGAGCATCGACCCTCAATCGCCCAGCGATCGCCGCGAGGGTGCCCGGTGGCCCCACACCGCCGAGGAGTGCGGGTTTCCTACTGGGGGCCCGTCGGGTCGATGGTTTCCCCCTTTCTCCCCTCAGCCACTCCCCCCCCCCCCCCTATCGCGATTATCGCGTCCCCTCGTGCCGCGGCGCTGGCGCCGCGCAGGGCCCTCTGCGCCCTCGCTGCGCGCTCGCGCCGGTAGCCCGTGCTGCAGGCCCTGGGCGCGCCCTTCCTCGCCACGGGCGAAGCAGGCGGGTCCTGAGGGAGGCGGGCCTCTCGAGGTGCTTCCCCACGGGGCCGCCAGTCGAAGGATCGAAGGGCAGCCCCTGCGGACGAAGCCGGCGGGTCCCGAGGGAGGCAGGTCTCCCGACGCGTGTCCTCGTGAGCCATGGGGCCGTCGATTGGAGGACCGGCCAGGCCAGGGCCCAAGAGCTGGGCCGAGTGGAAGCCCATGGGGCCCAGGACCCGTTTCGTCCAGAACCCGGCGCTTTCACGCCAGGGCCCTCGCCCGCGCGTGCCGCAGGGCCTTCGGCGCCTTCCGCGCTCACGGGGGGGTGGTCTGGGAGGTTGCGGGAACTGTGGCGTGCAGCCGCGTTCGGCCCCGCCGCCGCGCGCGGTGTCCTCGGTGAGCGTGGGCGCCTCCGGCGCCGGGAGGGGCCGAGAAGGACAGCTGCGTGCAGCTGGTTCGCTGTAGGCCCCCCCTTGATCGGCCCTCCCGTCCGAGCCACGAGCTGCGGGGCCGATGGGTGCGGCTGGCGGCGCCCCGCGAGCCCCGATCGCGACCGTCGCCGCCCTGATGGAGGCACCGCGAGGCGGGCGCGCCCTCCCGTGTCCGAGCTCCCGGTCGTCAAACAGAGCCCACAGCAGGGCAGCTGACGCCATCGAGGAGCCGACGACCGAGGTGGCGCCTGGACCGCTGCGGAGATGCCGAGGCAAGCATGTGACCGGTGGAGTCCGACGCTGATGCAGCGATGGCGGTGCTCACGAGCACGGCCAGCCTCGGTGTCGGTGAGCATGAGGCGTACGAGAGCCCCTGCGGGAGCCCCGCCCGACGGCGCGGGCGGCACCAACGTTACAGGCGTCCGACGAGCCGCGCCGCGTCGTGCTATAGCAGGGTGGGCACCCGCCCCTCGTGTGGCAGCCGGCCGCCCCGCGAGGCACGCGGAGAGTGGAGGAGGAGGAGGAGGAGGAGGAGGAGGAGGAGGAGGAGGAGGAGGAGGAGGAGGGCTCGGCCCCGCCCGCGGTCTCTGGTGTCCTGGGAAGGAAGCCGCACTGGCCTCTGGGATGCGGCCGGGGTCACTGCATGGGCACCCCCTCGGGGCTCAAGAAACGGGGGTCAATGCAAGCGGGGGTCAGCCAGAGCGCCAGATCTTGCAGGATCCTGCAGGGCCAGGGTCGCACTGACCTGGGCTTGGGTACAGGATCTTGCAGGATCTCCCGCACCGACCCAGGCTTGGGGGCAGGATCTGGCAGGATCTTGCAGGACTCTGCAAGGCCTGACTGACCCAGGTCTGGGTTAACCCGGGTCAGAAGATCCCCGACCCCCTGACATCCTCGCATCGCGAGAAAAAGCACGGCGGTGGCCACGTGCGGCTGGGCCCCGGGGCCGTCAGAGCACGATATGCCGGGGATGAAGGAAAAAGCCGTTCCCTATGTGCAGGAAGGGGCCCAGACCTCCGGGGAACCCACGCGTGGCGACACGATCGCGACGTCCGATGGCCAGGGGCTGGTTCGGGGCGAGACCCGCGCGGAGCTGTTGGGCAGCGGGGGCGAGCACACGCACGTTTTGCACACGTCAGCGCTGCCCGCGAGGCGCGGTGTGGCGCTGACCCCCGCGGGGCCTGTGAGCAGCCGCAGTATGGCACGCCGGCGAGCCGTGGAGAGCAGCACACGGGCGCCTGCCGGGAGGGCCAGCGGAGCGGGAGCGCCCGAGTCTGCGCGCAGGGTCTGCGCGCCCGCGTGCGGTGCGCTGCGCGGGCGCGCGTCCCGAGCGCTGGCCTGCTGGCTTGTCCAGGTGCGTAGGGTTAAGCCGGGCCTGTCCGTCTACAGGAGGAGCATTCAAAAATAGAGAAAAAAATGTCTGGGGACGATTTTTCGTCTATTTCTGAATATGTTTTAACACTTGTTTGACTATTTTTGATTTTTCTTCCAATATCCGCCTGTGGGGGGACATGCCCGACCTAAGCGTAGGGGTGTGGCAGATCTCTCGATTGTGGGAGCGCTGCAGGCAATGCTCCGAACGGGCGGTCCTTCCTCCACGAGGCTGGCGAGAGAAACGGGGCCTTGGCACTTGGTGGGCCCGTCGTTGAGCGGTTGCATTACCAGCAGCCGTCGTCCTGCGCAGTTGCGATCACAGGGGACGACGTATCCCGCTTTGACCTGGAGCACGTGCCCACGGATGTGGACATGCTCCTCGAACGCCAGCGATGTTGGATTATCGTTTGTATCATTGGTGGATGTGCATCGATACTATAAGAAGCATGGGTCGTGTCGTCTGCATTCGCACATGTATAATATAACCGATCGGGGCACCATCGCAGACAGCGAAAGGATGCCGTTTCGGACTAACCCTGGAACCCGTCCTCTTCCGTAGCCGCTTTGGCTCAAGGCGTCGTTTGACCCGGCTGCTTAGCACAGCGCTAAGATATTGAACCACTCATTCTGGCATTGTGTGTGTTTTGAGCGCTCTTTGCATCTACCCCCTAAGAGATGTTTGTCAAGGTTGTTTCTGTGCTGTCCTGCTTTCCGCTCACTGCGGCCCTCGCAGGCCAGCAGACCCATGAAGCTACCAGAAAGCGGGGAGCTTGCGACTGCCTGAACTGGGCAGGGGTATATTACGATCATCTTGCCATGTGCGGCCGCGGTAAAGAGCTTCATTTTCTTTCCAAGTACGGCTTCACTGCTGCCTATGCTGCCACTGAGCCCATCGCAGGCCTGCCGCACAAGGTCTGCAACGACTTCTTCAAGAATTTCAAAAACAACTCCTGCGTTAACGTTGACTTGTTGGCGTTGAGCGATGAGTCTGATAACGTGGTGGCCATGGGCGATGATAACATGACCGACAAGCAGTGGTGCTACGTGTCCAACGATTGCCCCGTGGCCAGCCTGAACGGGGGCGATTACGCCACCAACATGATGGGGTTCCAGCTCGGCGGGTGGAACAACCTCGCCAGCACGAGCAACTTGTCGTGGAAGATCTGCGATCCGGTCGCAGACGCGAGCTACATGTTGAAGTATAAGACGGTCCAGGAGCTGATCGACATCGGCACGGAGAGCGACGTTGGCTTGTCCCGGCTCATTCGGTTGGCTTACCCCGTCGTGGCAATAACATGGGCTGAGGTGAGTTTCAAGATGCAAGCCATCAACGATGCTTGGACGACTGGTGCCGACCTGGCCACCCTAGTGGACGCGCTTCCTGCTCCGCCCGCCACCTTCACCAGGGCCGCGGAGGTGCACACGACGATCACCGACATCATCAAGTCTGGGCAGGCCACGATTCTCGACACGCCAGGGCACGGGGACAACTTCCACGTGATCAAGGGCCGCGAGGCGTGGAGCGTGATGAGGAACGGTCTGGGCAACATGATTTACCTCAGCGGCCACTTCTCCATGGAGTTCGACGTGACGTGCCTCATGGGCTGTGCCACCACCCGCGTGGAGGCCCTCGATCTGGAGACGCAGTGAGCGGCCGCCGCCCCCAACTCGTGGCAGTTTGCGGCAGCTCATTTCGCCCCCCTGCTTCGACTGCTGTGTTTGCTTCTTCTCCTGGTCCTCATCATCATTCTCCGACTCGTCCCCCCCACCCGCTTCCCTCCTTCCATTCGCCGTCTTAGCTCCAGGTGACGACTGGGCTCGGGGTTGCATCTCTCAGGAGGGAAAAAAGCACACAGACACAACTAATCGACGATTCCCCAGAACATATGGGAAACTATGGGAAGTGGGGGGGAAGACAACAACCCAGAAAATATGAGAAAATATGGGGAATCCTGTTTTTTCGTGTGTGTGTGTGTGTTTATTAGTGTGTCCAAGGGCCCCTTCGATCTCGTTCTTCGCTTCGCCCTCCACCTGCAGCCAAGACGCTAGAACAAAGGAGCAGCTCGGCTTCGCAAAGGGCTCGCTGCTGCGGGCGTTTTCCCATGGCTGCTCTCCAGTCACCCCTCGTGCGCCCAGGGAACTTTTGGGGGCCGAGCATGGCCTGCGCTCTCTGTTCGGCATTCCCTACAGTCAACCCGCAAGGTAAGGATGGGCAACCTTCCCAAGGGGAGCCTTTGCATCCTTGCCTCCTCGGCCCATCCTTGGCCACGTTCGTTGACCGCGCCCCGCTCGAAGGGCTTCGAAGTGGGCGTCCAAGGCCCTTTCATCCTTGTCGCGCATCCTTGCTGTACGGTCTGACTGTATGGTAGTATGTTGACTGCACCCCCATGGTCCTGATTCCTCCCTCCCCCCCAAAACCGCGCAGCGGGAGGTGAGAGGGGAAACGGAGCAGGGCGTGCCCACCACAGGGCAGGCAGCGGTTCGAACGCCTGCCTTCCTGCGCCGCCTGGAGGCGGAGGAGGTAGACGTTTCGAATCCAGCCAACCCTGGTCCGAGTAACGCCAACACAAGGAAGAGTAGGAAGAGGAGGAGGAGGAGGAGGAGGAGGAGGAGGAGGAGGAGGAGGAGGAGGAGGGCGGAGGGAGGCCATCCAGCTACCACTCCAGAGGTGGGAGGCCGGCGAGGGCACCGGCTGTTACGGCGGGACCGTCCGCAGCTCGGACGCCCGAGGATGGAGGCCGAGAAGGAGGAGGAGGAGGAAGAGGAGGAGGAGGAGGAGGGGGAGGAGGAGGGAGGAGGAGGAGGAGGAGGAGGAGGAGTAGGAGGGAGGAGCGAGAAAACAGGAGGAGGAGGAGCAGGAGGAGGAGGAGGGCGTATGGAGGGAGGGAGGGAGGGAGGGAGGAGGAGGAGGGGCTCACTGCGGGAAGGGCCCCGTTGGAAGACAACCGCCTGGCACTCTCCAATCGTGCCAGAGCACCACTCCAGGGACTTCAACGCTGCGAATGAGCGTTACTGTCGCTATCTGACGATCCCAAATCGTGCCAGAACATCCTCTTCGGGACGTCAACACCGCGAACCAACGCGGCTGGCGCACCCAGGCATCCTAAATCGTGCTAGAGCACCGTTTCTGGGACGTCAGCCATCAGAATGTTCGAAACGGCTGTAAATTGTTAAGACAAGTGCGCGCGGGAGCCACATGTGACCTCCGTCTGTGAAGCTGTTACGAATGTCAGGCTTCAGGGTCATAAATGGTGAGGAAGTCTCAGCCGAATCGCCCGGCCCGCCCTACCGACCCGTCTCGGGGTGCGACAGGGAGGAGTTATCTATAACGAACAGGATAGAGGAGGGAGGAGGAGGAGGAGGAGGAGGAGGAGGAGGAGGAGGAGGAGGAGGAGGAGGAGGAGGAGGAGGAGGGAGGAGGGGGAGGACGAGGAGGAGAATGCAGGAGGAGGGAGGAGGGAGGAGGACGAGCCGAGTCCCCCCCCCCCCCGCCCATCGCAGAGGTCGCCGCCATCCGCGAGGGCAAGATGCGGGCGTCCGCCGTCGTGGAAGGCTGCCGGCCGCTGCCCCGCGCGGCGGCCGCAGCGGCGTCGCCGTGACGGGGGGTGGGGCAGGAGGCCCCCAAACATTCTGTTCATTGGCGACGCCCGTGAGAAGGCGTTCGCCGATCGAGTCAGTCCTGTCCCTTTTTCGAGCCGCCGCAACGGCCTGTCCTGTCAAGGCAAGCTTGACATACTTTGGAGGCTGTCAGAAGGGTTCGTTGGGCACGCCGGACTCGAGGTCATCCCAGCCCGACCTTCGGCACTCCAGCACGACCTGAGGCGCCCCGGCAGCCGTCGAGATCACCCGTCTTGAGCCAGACCTTCTCGCCGTCCTCGAAGACTGAGATCTGTCGGAGTGGGGCAGGGGGGGGCCCAGAGGAGCGCGGGCAGACACCACAGGCGGCCTCGAGGAGTCCAAGGTGGCGCCAGCGAGCCTCGGCGGCAGCCCCGAGCACACGGAGGGCCGACCACGACAGGGGGCCCTCGCCGCCCGAAGCCTCAAGTCGGGCCTGTCCCTCTACAGGAGGAATATTCGAAAATAGTTCAAACATGGGACGATGATTCGACTAGGTTTGATCATCTTGGGATGTTTTTTTTTTCTATTTTGAATTTGTCGCCCCAAATCTGCCTGTAGGGGGACATGCCCGATCTAACCGAAGCCGTGGGGGTGGCGTCGCCACGGGCTCCCAGAGAGGGATCGTTGATCAGCACTCCCGGCGGGAGTGCCGAGGCCCTCAACACTGCGCCGTAGCCGATGCTCGGCGGATTTGGGGTCGCGGCCCTCCCGGCGAAGCATTCCCCGTGCAATGGGAACCGGTCTGCTGGCAGCGGCCCGCGCGGCCCTGCGAAGGAACATGCTGTCGGACGAAGCCGTTCTGCACGCGGGTCAGGGCTGAGTGAGGGGGGACGGACGGCGGCTCCCAAATGAGCGTCGGCCGCGGCGCCCCCCGTCAGGGGTGGATGGGTTTGTCGGGCGTGCTCGTCTACAGGACGGATGCTCAGAAATAGTAAAAAAATCGTCGGAGGTCATTTTTTGTAAAAAACAGGAATTCAAAACAAGAGAGAGAGAGAGAGAGAGAGAACAAACAAAAAGCAAACTATTTTTGAATATTGTTCTGTTTTTCCTTCTTCGCCCCAAATCCTCTGGTAGGAGGACATGCCCGACCCAAGGAGGGGCTCTGGGGGGACGCAACGGCCCCTCGAACGCCCGAGGGCCGGCTGGGGCGGCGGCGGCTTGCCCTCTGCGCCGCTCTTGTGCTGAGTTTCGGGGGGCTCCCTGGAGGCCTCCGCCTCGGCTCGGGCCGGACGAAAGGGGGGGATTGGGAAAGGGGGGGTTACGAAATTTGCTGCATGCAGCTGGTTTCGGCCTCACCGATGGGCCCACTCCTCGATGCGTAGCCGCCTCCGGCGCCGGGGGGCGCCGGGAAGATCAGCTACGTTAGCTGATTCTCACCCCCCCCCCTTTGCTATCCCCCCCTTTCGCCCGACTCGAACGGCGGGATCTCAGCCGCGCACAGGGGGGGTGAGGGAGGTGGAGGTCGAATTCACGAAGAAACGTTTTGCTAAAGGGGGTCCTGTCCATCCCCGGAGCTTGAGGCGCGCGGTGCATGCAGCCACGATGGCTGTTTCAGACACGCGCTGGCCATGGGTTGATCATGGTCTGCGTCGGCCGCGCGGCAGATACTTCTCTACACACCAGGACGACATCGTTCTCGGCAGCGCGGGCGATTTGTCACGGTGCACGTGCCAGCCACGCGCAGAAGGTGGGTGGGGGGGAGGGGGGAGGGCTTCTTAGAAGCACCTCCCCCCTCCCTCCACCCCCTCTGTGCGCACCGCCAAAGGTCTGCAGAGGAGGCTCATGCCAAGAAACACCCTGCTTGCCTCCAGGGTGTCGTGGGCTTCTTGGATTTCGACGGTTTTGCTGTGGCGAGCGTGACGTTCCCACGCCAAACATCAATGGGCGCCCTGGCGTCTCAGGGTTGGGTTTCTTGTGGAAGCTTTCTTGTGGTCGGGCCTCCACTGTATGTTGAGAGACAGGTCAGGGTGAACCCCGCCCAGGAGGGGGCACGGGCTGGTTTCGCTGGGGCTGGTTTCGCTGGGGCTGGTTTCGCCGGGGCTGGTTTCGCCCGACGCTGGTTTCGCCGGCGCTGGGTTCGCCCCGCTGGTTTCGCCCCGCTGGTTTCGCCGGGGTCGGGCGGACCCTAATGGGCGGGTCGGGTCGGGACGGGCGGGCGGACCCTGACGGGCGGGTCGGGTCGGGCGGGCGGGACACTAAAGTGTGGTGCATAATCGAGAGGGCACGCGAGAGCCCTAACGGTCGGGTCGGGTCGGGTCGGGCGGACCCTAACGGGCGGGTCGGGTCGGGTCGGGTCGGGCGGACCCTAACGGGCGGGCTGGGTCGGGCGGGCGGGACATTAAAGTGTGGTCCAGAATCGAGAGAGCACGCGAGAACCCTAACGGTCGGGTCGGGTCGGGTCGGGCGGACCTTAACGGGCGGGTCGGGTCGGGTCGGGACGGGCGGACCCTAACGGGCGGGTCGGTTCGGGTCGGATCCGGCGGCCCTTCTCTCCTCCCTCCGTCCTGCCCTCCCTCAGCCACCTCCTCCACCACTTCCACCTCCACCTCCTTCTCCCCCACCTCCTCCACCTCCTCCTCCTCCTCCTCCTCCTCCTCCTCCTCCTCCTCCTCCTCCTCCTCCTCCCCCACCCATCGTCCTCGTCATTCTCCCCCCCCTCCCTCCTCCTCCTCCTCCTCCTCCTCCTCCTCCTCCTCCTCCTCCTCCTGCACCTCCTCCAGCAGCCAGGCGAAAGCAGCCGGGCGAAAGCAGCCGGGCGAAAGCAGCCGGGCGGATGCAGCCGGGACGATACCAGCGTCGGGCGAAACCAGCCCGGGCGAAACCAGCGCAGGGCGAAACCAGCGCCGGGCGAAACCAGCCGGGCGAAACCAGCTGCTGCCCCGGGGAGGGAGGGGCGCGGGGGAACCGACTTCGAGACGCCCTGGGCCAGGCGGGAGAGCCGCCGTTGTCTAAGCTAGCCCTTCTCCGAGAAACGTCGACCCCCCCAAGGCCCACTCATCGCCGCTAGGGGGCCCGGGCACCCACCGAGCCCAGGAGCGTGCGATTTCGCCACCAGGGGGCCCATCGCCGATCCCTCGGCGGTCAGTCGCCGAGAGTCCAGACCGATGCTTCCGCCCATGGGCCATGAATCCCCACCAGATCGACCCCCTTCCACGAAGAAGGGAGGGACCTCGAGGGGTCGCCGTCGTCGTCGTCGTCGTCGTCGTCGTCGTCGTCGTCGTCGTCGTCGTCTTCGCCGTCGTCTTCTTCGCCGTTGTCGTCGTTGTCGCCGCCGCCGCCGCCGTCGTCGCCACCGCCGCAATCGTCGTCGTCGTCGTCGTCGTCGTCGTTGTCGTCGTCGTCGTCGTCGTCGTCGTCGTCGTCGTCGTCGTCGTTTTCGGCGTTGTCGTCTTCGCCGTCGTCGTCTTCGCCGTCGTCGTCGTCTTTGTCGTCCTCGCCATCGTTGTCGTTGACGTCTTCGTCGCTTTTTATGTCGTCGTCGCCGCCGTCGTCGCCAGTGTTTTCCACTGCGTGATGCCTTTATTGCTTTTGTTGAGGGGGGGGGGCACGTCACCAGGCCAGGGGACCAGGTGCTCCAAAAAAGATCGAAAAGCTGGGAGCACATTGGGCCGAGGGCGCCTCGAGAAACCCCCGAGTTGTCGAGGTGCGGATCCTCGAACGCCCCCGCGCCACCCTCCGAGTGGGTGCCGAGGGCTCAGGGGCCGCCGGCGCGCGAGCGCGCGCGCGAGGTCTGCTGGACTATTGCCTGACGCCGGACCCAGCGAAGACGAGGGGCGCCGCGGACGGCGGCCGCCGCCGCGTCGCCGTGCGGGCGGAAGGGGGGAGGGGGAGGCGAGGGGGCAGGAGGTGGGGTAGGTAGACATGGGGGACGAGGAGGGGGAGGATGAGGGGCGGGAGGCGAAGGGGAGGGGACGATGATGAGGAAGAGCGAGAGTAAGAGAGAGGCGAAGAAGCGGGGACTGATGAGGAAAAGGAGGATGAGATCGTGAGGAGGAGAAGGAGACGGGTAAAAAATAACCAGGGAGGATGATGAGGAGCATGGGGGGAAGAAGAGGCGAGGGTGAGTGGAGGAGGTGGGGAAGAGGAGGGGCGGGGAATAAGGGATGAGGAGGAAGGAGAAAGAGGGCCATGACGAGGAAGGGGATTTGTGAGTGGGAGGAGGAGGAGGAGGAGCAGGAGGAGGAGCAAGAGGAGGAGGAGGAGGAGGAGGAGGAGGAGGAGGATGAGGAGGAGGAGGCACTGGCAGAGGAGGATACGGATGAGCAGGAGGGCGGGATGTACTTACAGTCTCTGGGAGTGTATTTCGTCCGCGGTGTCGAGGTACACCCCAGGAAATGCGAGCAAACGCGGTCATTGTTGCTACGTCTCCCGGTGAGGATGAGGCGGAGGATGATGGAGGGGGGGGGACGGAAGAGGATGTAGAGGTGCACGTATGAGAATAGGGGAGGCTGGGAGGAAAGACAAGAAAGGGGGGGGGCCGTGGGCTCCAGCGTCTTCACTGGCATTGCTTCTTGCTTTTGTTCCCCGTCTTTTCTCCACAGGTATTGGTTCGGACAACATGACCGTTGTCTTGGTCACCTTCCTTGGGGGAG